AAGCAGGGCAGGGAAAGGCTCACCTCATGGCTCCGACAACGCGTCTTTACCCGCCCCGGCACCGTTCGTTAAGGAAACCACCGGCTAGGTCTCCACTTTTAGAGGTCAACACTGGCAAGTATTCCGGCTCAAGACACCTCAAGACCTGAGAACCAACAGACGAGGTGCCTCCGACACCTCCAGCTCATGGCTCATGGGCTACCGGCTGTTGCTTTAGATTCTCCCGGTCGCATGAACTCTGGATGCTAGAGGTTCTGCATCTGAACAGGGGCATCTTCTCGGGAGAACAGGCTGGAAGTACGGTGCGAGCATCGCATGCAGAGATCACGGCTCAAGCCTGCAAAGTGGCTGCAAGATGCATGGTCTGCGAAGCTGTCCCCAAGAAACTTCCGACATTTTAGAGATGGGCATCAGTAAAAAGTACTGCAATACTCTTACGCATCCTGTGCCCTGATAGCAACCCGGCAGCTCCTGAGCTCAAGTGGCATCTGGACATCCTGCGATTGCACGGCATCATGGCATGGACTTAGGGTTTAGGGGTCCAGGGTTTTGGGGTTTAGAGTTTAGGGTGCCGCCACCCGTTCGGCCGCCCTGGCAAGCCTCCTGCTCGGGAAGTGTCTCTGCAAAGGGATTCCTCAAGGTCCAGGAGCCCGCCTGCAGCGCAGGTACATGCATGCACACATACATGCGCACACGCATACAAACACACACATACACACATACACACATCCATCCATCCATCCATCCATCCATGCATGCATGCATCCATGCATGCATACATGTTATATATATATATATATATATATATATATATATACATATATATATATATATATATATACATACATACATATATATATAGTATATTATAGGTATATAAAATGAAATACAATATCATAAGCAGAGGAGAGTATGACAGGATAGCATAGAACAGATATGGTGACAATCTATAGAAATATTCCTCCTTTAAATGTGTGTATATGTATGTAAGTATACTTCTTGTATTTTTCTGTCTACTATATGAAGAAGCATATGTCTATTATATGTATATTGCATGTATACTGTATGCATTATATTGCAAAACATACTACAATATACTGTATCGGAGACCGGCGGCCTCTCGAAGGCCCTCGCTTCGTCCTGACGGCAGGAGGGAGAAGATCGCGACTCAACGGGCTGGGGCCGAGCGCGAGTAGTCCTGAAAGAAGCTCGTCGCTCTCGCGCTCGCTGCCTCTTTCCTGACATCGCAAGGCCGAAAGTCTGGGAGGATTGAAGCCTTTGATGCTGAGAAATGCTGCCAAATCTGACGGTCTTCGAAGGAAATTCAGATTCTCGGCTTCCGTTGAAGTCCGTGGTTCTAGAGAGGCTGCCAGGCAACCAACGGTCCTCCCCGGCTTTCTGCCGAGGACGAGCTCTGATTCGCGCTGCAGGCGGCGCCCAAGCTCTGTACAAGCGTCCTCCTGCACGATGGACGAGCGAGCGTCAATCGAGACCCGATGAGGCCTCAAAGCTCTGAGACTATATCGGGTCCTGGGTAGAGTCAGCTCTGAGATGCAAAAACTGCAGTCGCCTCCCTCCCAGACGGCTCGCGGCTCGCCGCGTCTCTTCGAGAGCTGAGCCGGCTCCGCAGGGAATCGGGCCGAATTCGGCGATGTCCGCAAGGTTCGACGCAAATTCTCCGAATTTCGCGCTCTGCCTTCGACGTGCCGGCTATCTTGCGACAAAACTCAGGAACTGAGTCGAAAGAGTCTTTTCCATTGCATCGAAGGCAGGGCACATGCGACATGCAGTGGCTCAGGCCGGCCTCGGCAGATTTCGGCAGGTTTGGCAATTGCGGTGCCATCTTCGTGGCATTCACTTACCTGCTTCGTGACTTTCCAGCTTCACATGTCCCCTGGTGCATGCCCCAAATACCCAAAGACAAAAAAAGCGTCCCAAATGCAGTCACAACCACAAGCTGCGATATGAGATACAGAAAAAACACCTCTTGGGGCAACCACCAACAAAACATTTCTAGCACATCTGCCACATGATGTGCCGTCAATGCCTCGCGACCGAGGGCGTGGTTTTTGTTCCTTATTTTTTTTCAGTTTTTTTTCTTATATTTTTTCCGTTTCCCTTGTTTGGCTAGGGGTAGGGGTAAGTAGGGGTAGGGGGCGAGGGGGTAGGGGCAGGGGTAGGGGTAGGGGTATGTGGTGTAGTAGAAGTAGAAGTAGTAGTAGTAGTAGTAGTAGTAGTAGTAGTAGTAGTAGTAGTAGTAGTAGTAGTAGTAGTGGTAGTAGTAGTAGTAGTAATAGTAGTAGCAGTAGTGGTAGTAGTACTACTACTACTACTACTAGTCGTAGTAGTAGTAGCAGTAGTACTAGTAGTAGTAGTAGTAGTAGTAGTAGTAGTAGTAGTAGTAGTAGTAGTAGTAATAGTAGGTAGTAGTAGGTAGTAGTAGGTGGTAGTAGGTAGTAAAAGGTAGTAGTAGGTAGTCGTAGGTAGTGTAGGTAGTAGTAGGTACTAGTAATTGTAGCAGTAGTAGTACTAGGAGTAGTAGTAGTAGTAGTAGTAGTAGTAGTAGTAGTAGTAGTAGTAGTAGTAGTAGTAGTAGTAGTAGTAGTAGTAGTAGTAGTAGTAGTAGTAGTAGTAGTAGTAGTAGTAGTAGTAGTAGTAGTAGTAGTAGTAGTAGTAGTAGTAGTAGTAGTAGTAGTAGTAGTAGTAGTAGTAGTAGTAGTAGTAGTAGTAGTACCAGTAGTAGTAGTAGTAGTAGTAGTAGTAGTAGTAGTCGTAGGTAGGTAGTAGTAGGTAGTAGTAGGTAGTAGTAGGTAGTAGTAGGTAGTAGTAGGTAGTAGTAGGTGGTAGTAGGTAGTAATAGGCGTAATAGGTAGTAGTAGGTAGTCGTAGGTAGTGTAGGTAGTAGTAGGTACTAGTAATTGTAGCAGTAGTAGTACTAGGAGTAGTAGTAGTAGTAGTAGTAGTAGTAGTAGTAGTAGTAGTAGTACTAGTAGTAGTCGTAGTAGTAGTAGTAGTAGTAGTAGTAGTAGTAGTAGTACCAGTAGTAGTAGTAGTAGTAGTAGTAGTAGTCGTAGGTAGGTAGTAGTAGGTAGTAGTAGGTAGTAGTAGGTAGTAGTAGGTAGTAGTAGGTAGTAGTAGGTAGTAGTAGGTGGTAGTAGGTAGTAATAGGCGTAATAGGTAGTAGTAGGTAGTCGTAGGTAGTGTAGGTAGTAGTAGGTAGTAGTAGGTAGTGGTAATAGTAGCAGTAGTAGTACTAGGAGTAGTAGTAGTAGTAGTAGTAGTAGCAGGAGTAGTAGTAGTAGTAGTAGTAGTGGTAGTAGTAGTAGTAATAGTGGTAGTAGGTGTCGTAGGTGTAGTAGGTGTAGTAGTAGTCGTCGTCGTCGTCGTAGTAGTAGTAGTAATAGTAGTAGTAGTAGTAGTAGTAGTAGTGGTAGTGGTGGTAGTGGTAGTGGTAGTGGTAGTGGTAGTACTAGTAGTAATAATATATCGTCGTCGTCGTGGTAATAACAATAATAGTAGTAGTAGTAGTAGCAGTGGTAGTAGGTACTAGGTAGTAGGTAGTAGGTAGTAGGTGGTAGGTGGTAGGTACTAGGTAGTAGGTAGTAGGTAGTAGGTGGTAGGTGGTAGGTGGTAGGTGGTAGGTAGTAGGTACTACGTAGTAGGTAATAGGTAGTAGTAGTAGTAGTAGTAGTAGTAGTAGTAGTAGTAGTAGTAGGAGTCGTAGGAGTCGTAGGAGTAGTGGGAGTAGTAGGAGTAGTAGGAGTTGCAGCAGCAGTAGCAGTAGGTAGTAGTAGCTAGTAGTAGGTAGTAGTGGGTAGTAGTAGGTAGTAATAGGCAGTAGTAGTAGGTAGTAGGTAGTAGGTAGTAGGCAGTAAGCAGTAGGCAGTAGGTGGTAGGTGGTAGGTGGTAGGTAGTAGGTATTCGGTAGTAGGTAGTAATAACAGGAGGCTGTAACGATTCCATCCTTGCTTCCTTTCTTGCTTGCTTACTTCTTTACTTCTTTGCTTGCTTGCTTGCTTGCGCGTTTGCTTGCTTGCTTGCTTGCCTGCTTGCACGCTTGCATGCTTGCTTGCTCGCTGGCTTGCTTTAGGTGGTAGGTGGTAGGTGGTAGGTAGTAGGTACTACGTAGTAGGTAATAGGTAGTAGTAGTAGTAGTAGTAGTAGTAGTAGTAGTAGTAGTAGTAGTAGTAGTAGTAGTAGTAGGAGTCGTAGGAGTAGTGGGAGTAGTAGGAGTAGTAGGAGTTGCAGCAGCAGTAGCAGTAGGTAGTAGTAGCTAGTAGTAGGTAGTAGTGGGTAGTAGTAGGTAGTAATAGGCAGTAGTAGTAGGTAGTAGGTAGTAGGTAGTAGGCAGTAAGCAGTAGGCAGTAGGTGGTAGGTGGTAGGTGGTAGGTAGTAGGTATTCGGTAGTAGGTAGTAATAACAGGAGGCTGTAACGATTCCATCCTTGCTTCCTTTCTTGCTTGCTTACTTCTTTACTTCTTTGCTTGCTTGCTTGCTTGCGCGTTTGCTTGCTTGCTTGCTTGCCTGCTTGCACGCTTGCATGCTTGCTTGCTCGCTGGCTTGCTTGCTTGCTTGCTTTGCTTGCTTGCTTGCTGGCTTGCTTGCTTGCCACGAGGAAAACGGAAAAAAAATGAGAAAAAAAACGGAAAAAAAATAAGCAAAAAATACCACCACCCCTCACGGCAACTGTGCTTCACCCTAGTAAAGCGTCAAGGAACGAAATCTGCGGCTTTTACAATATGATAGTATGATTAACTTGTCTCCGTGACACAGTCTTCCGTCTTGGCATGTGGCAGCCGTCTATTCTTTTACCTGGAACAAACGACCGGGATCAGGCCGACAGCAGGCATCGACGACAAGCGCCCTCCCACACAATGACTTTCGTTACAATATACATATCACAATGAGCGGTAGTACGGGATAGCTCGAAGCTGGGATGCACCCCATAGCTGAGACTCATAGCAAGAGTGTGGTGTGTACCCCACAACAGCTAAGAAAAATCAACCTGATTCGCTCTTGGGCGCCAGCACTGGCTTCGCTGCCTGAAGTGCTCGACCCGGAGAGGCAGCACGCCTACGAACGACGTAGCTTGTTGACAAAACAGTGCTCGGAGCTGTGATCCAACTCCGGAAGCTGCACACTACACTCTACACGGGAGCCAACATGGGCCTCGCTCGAAGATGGGCATATTGCCTCTGCAGCCATGAACACGACATGAGATGCACACACACAGCGTATTCCCAAAGGCCTGTCAAGCTCCGTATACAGGCGATCATCCAGCTGGATGGCGGTGCAGCTCTGCTGCCTGCGCACTAGAAGCTGAAAACTGCTGGACAGCGCGATGTAGTAACTGCCTGCACCATTGCAAGACTTTCGCATTCACGGCAGGCTCTTCATAGCCCATCTCCAACAAGTGCCTAAGTCCCGCACAACAACTTGGTAGGGCCAGCAGCATGTCCAGTGAGGCTCCTACCGCAGCACCTTATCCTCGGGAGGACCTCATTGGTGTTTCACTCACTGCACAGATCTGCGAGAGAATCGCGGCGGCCTGGGGCGTAACCAGCATAGCCGCCAAAGCCTCGCCTGGGGCGACTTGTTGATTGCCCCTTGTCTGATCTAGCTCGGCTGGGCCCTTCACTCAGAGCTCGAATCCTGCCATAGAAGCTTGTAGAAAAGCGCTCGGGGTCCGGAAACACTCCCCCTCTGAAGCACTTCTCGCGGTTACCTGTCCTTCGCACCGAACCAGTTGTGGCCCACACTGCTCAATGTACCTGGGCGAGGTGCTGTTGCACGACATGGCTCCAACAGCAGAACTGCGACGGAGCAAGATGCTTATGGCTTCCGCAGCCGTTGCCCGGATCGCATCCGTCACGTTGCGGAGGATGTCCTGATTTTGGACCTGCTGGTCAGGGGTGGCAGGGCTGGCTGCAGCTGTTAGCCATTGCGTCGCACGGTCACGAACCTTCGGATCCGGCAGGGGGTTCTCTGGCACAGGCACCTCTCAGGAGAAACGTAAGACTCCGCAGGCGGATGAGGCGCCCTAAGTCATTTCTGGCGGCCTCGGCGATCGGCTCCTCGGGCATTCCTGCACGAGCTTGCCTGTGACGGGAACGAGACATGGAGAGAAAACCTCGTAAAGAGCAGAGCATCACCGGTAACACCGCCACGGCCGCGCCTTCGTAGGTAGCTCACGAAAGAATGCCAGTCCATGCGCTCCCCACCGGTCTCCGACCTGAAGCCATGAATGAATCTAATGCCGGGCCTGCGGAACGATACGGGGAGCCAGGACTCGAACGCTCTGCCCGTGATCTGGATGAAGATTCCCTGCGCAGCCTGAGCACGGCGCTTCCTTTTCACTAAGCCCTTTCTCCTAGCCTGCATACCGAAAGCTTCCGGCCTCCCTTGCATTGCGATGCGCCTGTGCGCGCGAGGTGCTGCCAAAAGAAGACCAAAAAGAACTCCCAGATTGCCCTTGTTCACCTGTACTGTGTAGATTCGTTCAGATCACATGCTGCAATGATGTACTTCAGTGTTCACATGCAGTGTATATCGACTCAGAGACTCTTCTTTGACTTCCATCGCATTGAGGTGTTCCTCCAAGACCAAGCAGGTGCCCGACAGCTCATGCCAATGGGATGCTCATCTGTGAATTCTGGGGACACCGACCCCCAACCGCACATCGCGATCGCAACTCCAAGCAGACTCACTGCAACTTGGACAAACCTCGAACCACTGCTCCGGCCGCTTGCCAGTCCCCCCATCTTCGTGCCCAGCTTGCCAGCTCGCTGACAACGGAATCAAAAACTTTGGCTGCATCCTCACCTTCGACGGTGCTACCATGGCAAAGGAAGATACGGTGAATCACCCATTCGGCAGTTCTCTCAACCGATCTCTCCAAAGCCGCTGCGTCGTGCGTGTAAATCCAGAACTCCGGCGATGGCATGGGCCGTCCTGCAAGTCGACTCGCGCGCGCCAGGGGGCCTCCACAACACCCGGGGGTGGTTGCAGGCCGCAGGTTCTCGACGAAATCACCTACTAGGACTGTCCCAGACTGGCGGTGGTAGAGGATTGCTTCCTCGAAGAAGCAGTTGCCAGCAGTCACCAAAACCTCCAATTCCTGACCCCAGCCCCCAGCATCCGTTGGAAAGTCCATGCCCGAGCTGAGCACCACGGCCACAGAGAGATGCGGCTGTCGCTCCCGCAGGCCCGCTGGAGCACACAATAAAGCATTCGGGTACTTGGCACAGTATGCCTGGAGCGTCTGGTTGTGAATTTTGTTGGGTGACACGACCATCTCCACACTTCCTAGGGTCTCCAGGTCTGCGGCCACCGCGTCTGTCAGAGGAGTTGGCGAATACAGACACAATCGCCGACCCTCAAGGCAAATCACGGCCATACGTGTTTGCAAAGCGAAACCGTAAAACTGGATCACCGCCTCATGCGTGTAGATTTGCGGGGCGAAAGCCTTTAGGGCCAAGAACCTTTGGCTCATGGCCCGGTCGGAAGAATGCGCGGAGGGAAAGCGGAAAGGGGTACCTGATTGATGCAGGATTGTGCGTCTTGCAGGTGCTGTGACTGTGACCGTTGCTACTGCCACTCTTGTGCTTCTGGTCATAACATGTCATGACACATAACCACCACAACGGGAAATTGAAGCAGCTTGGCTACAGCTGCGCAGCCTCGGGCAGAAGAGACTGAACGTCCTCCATGGAAAGAAGACCATCGTTATCCTCGGTGCGCGCTGCACGAACGCCACAGAACCTGGAACTGCGCCGAAGCCCGGTCCTTATCGGCATTGTGGAAGATAAGATGGATGGAAGGCTCCAGCTTCGGGTTACCCAGGTCGATGCAGGCCTCAGAATCTCTGAGCATTTCACAAGTCACAGAAGACAGAGGCGTTCAATACATGGTGGCCTTTCTTGCACATTCATGAACCCTCGCCCTAGGTCCTGGCAGCCACGAACTCGGTCCAGTCCTCAGAACAAGCTACAGATCTCCCACAGATCAAATTTTAAAACATGTTAAAACACTGCACGGCTGGTCTTAGCTCTATGCGACTGCATTCTTGTTCTGGCTGAGGTTCATGGCCACGGCAGCACCTTCTGGCTCATGATCTTTCAGAAGCTGGGCTTGGAATATGGCACCGAGGATCACCGAGGTGTCGGCGCTTGGCCTGTTGCTCCTCGTAGCCGCAACTGACGAACTTGCGGACCTGAGCAGCGCGGCTTTCCAAGGACTGCGTCTGCGATGGGCCGCAGTGGCAGAGCTGAAGGGCGCTGGCCAAGACGGAGTCCTGGAGCATGCCGGTGCCCTCGTCATCAAACCTAGGCAGGAGTAAAGCCTTGAACACGGACCTCCAAGAAAGACCGAAGATTCATTGAGAGCAAAGAGCAGGACCGCAGCACCCGAGGAATGGGCTCTTTGAACACGCTCTTGAAGGAGGGCATCTCGTTTGGAGGCCAGTCCTAATCCCGCGGTGACATGAACTTCTGAAAGAAAGCGCTCGGAGAGAGGTCGGCCTGTGCTATTTTGAGGCAGATGAGCTTGTAGAATGCCTTCGAAGCAGATGCAGTTCCCCGATTTCAAAAGGGCACGAAAACAGACAAGCTGCATCTCTTTCGCAGGTGGTAACCAAGCGGTTGATCAGCTTGAGCCCCTTCTCCTCAAGAGATTTCAAGCGAGGCAGGAACAGGAAGCAAATCTCACGGCTGTCCATTTGTGTGACCGGGATGCCATCCGAAGCCTCAGGTGCAAACGTGAAGGCCCGTCGGCGACAGCGGGCAAGGCACAAAATTACACATGCAAGTCCTCAGCCTCTTGCAAGACTCACGAAGGGCTCCCTGAGGCCATCAGCGGCATTCATGCGCCTGGGCCTCTCCTGAAGGAGTAGAAAATGATGGGATGACAACGAAAGTCGGGCTGTTTACGCACATGGACTTGGGAAGGTTCACAGATTGGTTATTGGTGTGAAGCTTCTCATCTAATGTGCGCACCCGAGTAGCCGCAGGCGTTTAAAGACAGACTCGTCGACTCACCTGAATTTCCATCCCGGACATGGCCAGTTTCCGGAGCCATCAAGCCCCGTCGATTCTTATTTGCATGGATCGGATACACGAATTCCTTGCCGAAAAACCAGACGGCTGCAAAGAAGCAATCCTCGCTGAGACGACCAAAAACTTGCTGCCAACAGTCGCGGAGTTCAGGGATCAGGAATGTGTGAGGCAGACAGATATCCAGGGTTTCGGCACGACAGCTGTGGGGAGCATTGGACGGAATGAGGTTCTGTCGCGAGCCAGCGCTCGACATGAAGAACTTAAAGAATGGGCAGGGGGAGTGAAGCTGGTGTTGAGTTGCACCCAGACTCGCTCCGCAGGCCTGCTCCAGCATCTTGGCCATCAGGCTTTGCGCGTCGACCGGTGCTCGCTGCACCCTTTCCTGAAAGCTCAACCAGAACTGTGCCTCTGCGGGCTTCTTTCTGCCCTGGGCTTCCGGCCCAGTGAGGTCGCGGCCTGGCCTCCCAGAAATTCCTTGCCTCCTGCTTGTTCCCACCTGGCTCCCGCTCTCTTTACTTCCAAACTCAAAGCCCCCAGCCCGGGGGCCCGGCGGTACTTGAAGTCCCAGGGCATTTGGAAACCTTGCCACGCGAGCGGAAAAAAAAAAAACAGTCCGTACCACCCACCGGCAACTGGGCTCGAAGCTGAGAAGTTCGAACAGCACACAGCCGCAGCTGAAAACATCGGCCTCAATTCAGGACTTCTGCCGTTAAGGGCTCTGGCCACTAGGTCTATTGCCTTCGGCGTGATTTCTCCACGCCAGACTTCAGGCCTTTCCGCAGCTTTCACAAAGGAGCACAAGCAAAAAAATGACTGATGTCTTCGCGAGCTCTTCAGCTCAGTCTCGAGCGCCATGGTAGAAGGCGTACCCATAGGGCTGCCACGCTTGAAATTGCCAGGCTGGAAGATGGTGGCCTAGACCAATCATGTGACCAAGCTCCCAAAACTCTTCCAGTGGCATACAGCACAAGAGAAGCAAAGGCAGGTGCGACACCAAGGTCGATGACAATGATGTGAGGAAGCCTTGTTCACTTCATCACAAAGATGCCACAAGAAGGACAGTGTCTGCAGTCCCTTCACCCGAAAGATACCTTCAGCCAGAACGATGCCCCAAAGGGAGGAGTCGGAGGTGCGAGAAAGCCACTCCTTGAAGATGTCAATGGAGCACACCGCCTCGAGCAGAGGAACTCCAACTCCGGCTACACAGTGAAACTCGGGATGGAATCGGTCGCGGATCAGCTAATCGGTCCTCGTTCGGCTCGGCTTGGACGAAGCGCATCTTCGTCTCCAAAGCCGGCATCAGCCTGGGCCACGCACTGCTCGCACGTCAAGGGCTGTTCTGAGTGCACATCAACACGGGACCCCTGCATAATGTTTTGAGACTTGACGTCCAGGTGAATGATGCCGTTCGCATGGATGTGCGTCACGGCAGAGAGGAGCTGAGCAGCGGGTCGCAACAGTGGAGCTCATGACAGAAGACCTGCTGAATTCCGCGGTCTCTGCAACAAGGTTTGGATCTCGAGACACACCAAACACCCGGACCAGTGAATCAATGGACAGGCTGCCTGCTGCATAACGTGAGCGATCCACACCTGGCAAATTCTTGTACATCATCAAAAAACGCCTTCCAGAGCCCACCGTCCTGCGGGATGGGCTTCCGCGAGTCCCTGGCATCGCCTCGGACCACGTCACGTCAGACTCGAGAGCAGAACCCAAGAGGACGACTGCTCGGGCAAGCAGCAGATGTGCTTGTGCAACTCGCCACGCGAGCAATGATCCGTCACCTGCAGAGTAGCGAAGCCAGTTGATCTTACTAGCTTGATCTTCGTGTGAGCGCTTACTCGGGGCCACTCCTGCTACTACTACCACTGCAACTTCAACTGCTGTCACTGCTACTACGGCTGCTGCTGCTGCTGCTGCTGCTGCTGCTGCTACTCCTACTGCTGCTGCACAGTGACAGCCTAACACATGCCGGCAGGGCCAGGAAAATCCGATCCTCGCTGTTGTAGAATTCCAGAAGTTTCAGAACCTGGTCAGAGAAGAAGCAGCCGGATGACAAAAACTGACGCACAAGCAGCACCAAAACTAGGCAGCTGCAATCATGAAGTAGCACTGATAAGCACAACGGCTGCAACAGTAGCAACAGCAACAGCAGCATAACAGAACAGCTGCAGCAAGCATAACAACAAACGAACAAACCAACAAACAAACCGATAAACCAAACAAGCAAATCGACAAACATACCTAACACCAACGAACAAACAAACGAACAAACAAACACACAAATGGCAACACCACCACCACCACCACCACCACCAGCAGCACCACGACAAGAAAGTCAACGGCATATCTGATATGTGCTAACAACATTGGAAGTCACAATGCTCATGGCCAAAATTCCCTAAGTATTGAACCGATAAAGAAGGAACTTCCTCCACGAGAGCAACGTTCCATGAAGCAACAACCAAAGGTATTTTCTGGACAAGGTCCTGCCAGCTCAAGAAAACAAACCAAGTAAGAAGCGACGCTACAGCAGCAACTGAAGACAAATATCACGAGTGCTCAAAAACATTCCGACAAATACAGGTCAAAAGAAATTCAACTAAGTCGTGACTGTCGCGGACGATAGTGAAACTGACATGTGTGACAATAATCGGAGCAAGGCTGCGGGCTACACAGTCAGTTAGGGGACTGTTGGGGCAGTTGGGGGGTTGCAGGGTTGCTTGGCTGTGCGGGGGTGCTAGGCCTAGAAATGCAAAACGCTGCAGCCAGTGCAGTCGACCAGTAGGACAGCAGGAGTGAATGGCAATGCTGTAATATGCTGTAATACTTGATGAATTTGGCTGAGCCCTTCGCGACAAGACACGAGGCTTTCAGGAGGTCGGGAGCAGGGCTTGTGGGGCTCTCTCTCTCTCTCTCTCTCTCTCTCTCAGCTTCTCGAGGCCGCCACGTGGGGATGGTCCAGCTGAATCAAATTTTGAATCTCTTGTTTCAAGAACGCCATGTCTCCATGCACCTGACGGTAGCACTCTTCTTTACCATGCGGCACTCAGTAGCCACTCAATCTTGGGGCATCTGCCTTCTCCTTGTTGATGATTTTGATGGCTCGCGTCTGCCTGCACGAGCTGTATGCAGCTGTCTCAAAGACTACACAAGAAGCGCCATGCGATGCTTGACTGCACGACCTTGTTTGCTTGTCCTTTGCTTTGACAACTTCACCGTAGGTGCCCTTGCCCAGCGTCTCGCCTTCAGAGGCGAGAGTTCTTGCAAAAAGCCCACTTGGTCCCTTCTGTCGGGCAGGCACAGATCTGGTAGCGTGAATCAGGGGTGCCAGGAATGGCTGTCTCAGCAACGTCCTTCTGCAACGCCTCGGTCACGAGACCGACCCGATCAGCACACGCAAGCCCACGGCCCACACTGCCGGGAGAACCTGAACAGACATGTCCTGCTGGAGATGCGCAACATCCGAGAAGATCATGCGGAAGTCATCAAACCTAATTTCTGCAACGCCCGGACATGCCTCTCTATTGCCACAATTCGTTGCTCGCCCCGCCCCTGCCCGCACTTAAGGTCAGGACGACAGGAAACCCTGGCCTTGCATCTTGACCTGCCAGGGGAAAAGTCGGAGAGCTTTCTCTTCAGGCATCTCAGGTCTCCGCTTGCCTTTAGGTGGACCTGACAGCCCAGAAGGCCAACGAAGCAGTTCACTTTGTCCCCGAGCTTCATCACATCTTCGAGGCTTTGAACTGGGCGAACGGGGAGCAAAGCCAACTCCCACAAAGGCGTCTCTTCCCTCGGAGGGAATCGAGGTCCAGTCTGGATTCTGTCTTTGCTCGCCCAATCTCTGAGAAGAACCTGGCCGCACGCAATCTTGTAATTCTGCTGAATCTGCACGAGACTGCACCTCATCGCACACAAAACTGCAGCAAGTCATCGTCCAGCCTCTCGGCTTGCAGCTCCAGCTCCACGTTGGCGAGCATGCCGTGCACCGCCGAAACCTAAAAGCAACCGCCCAACCGGATTGAAATCGAATCAACTGAAGACCACAACGTGACGCCTGCTCTGGCGTGGGCATTCGCCGGGGACGAATCTTCCACTGGTCGTGCAAGCGCAAGGCCTTGGGCTCTGGCTTGCAGATGCACATGATAAAAAGTGCATCAACTCTGAGCGCTTGACCGTGCCAGGTTTGACATCGAGCACGATTCCACCAGACCTAGCATCAAGCAACATGCCAACCACACCTTTATCTAGAAGTCGCCATCTCGATTTGGGATGCACGCTCAGGGTCAACATCCAGTATCGACGCCGGGATCCAACACCTATCATAGGTCCGATCAGAAAGGCAATCAGCCAGCTTGACACAAGCTACAACTATGCTACAGCTCATGCCTGTGGTACTCACTCCAGTAGTCGACCTTGGTGATTTCGGGGTCTTGTGAGCACCGCTCTGCTTCAGCAAGTGCCTTCCTGCAACTCGGTGGTTGCGGTCAGGCGAGGCCCAAGCAGTAGAAAGCATGCACTCACTCCAACACACTGAAATGATTTGGGAGCCCCACCAACAATCCAGGATTCTTTTCATGGACTCTCGGCCCCCTCTGTGCCGACTCTTGCTGCCGGACTTTGTCTGACTCTCACGACCCGTCACAGAAACCCCCTATCTGAGCATGCAGAGGTTTGGAGCACTGAGGTACCTGCCCACTGTCCCTTCACTTTACGGAAGGGCTCCACAGCATGTGCCTGTCACAAGATGCTACGATGGTTGAGCAGGACTCCGGAAAAAATCTTCGAACGTCGAACTCCCAAGAAACAAACGGCACAGCCGCCGAGCACCTGCTTGGCCATTAGTTGCTGCTTCAACTTATGAGCGTGGTAGCACGGCTCGCGTTGTTCACGAGGTTCGTCGCGTGCCACATTTTGCGGCCTTGATGCCAAGAATCTGGGCACAACTGGTCAAAGCTGTGCCGCTGTGGCAGGGCAGTAAGCAGCGCACGCTGCTTGCAGGTAGCACTGACGCAGGTTGGGCCTAGAGCAGGGGTGTCGCAAGCTGCACGACCGCATGCATTGGAGTCTTTCCAGGCCCAGCACACTGGAGTTGGGCTCCGAACCTCGGACGAAGCAACTCTGAGTGTCCTCGGACATGCAATGGGGTTGGTGTCTGGACGCAGCATTTTTGCTCAAGCTTCCTTCGCTGCATTATCAGAAAACGTGGCGTTGCCACACCTCTTCAAACTGATGCCTCTCAGTAAACATCTTCGATGTCCTGTCCAAGGCAGACTACCGCCCAACCTAAAACTATTCTGGAACTCCACATCTTCGATGTAGCATGGCGTAGCCATCTGTACTCATTTCGAGTCGCTCGTGGCTCGGCTTGGATCAGAACAGACTTCCACCCCATTGCTGGTCCTTCCACTGCTGAAAGCTCGACTTCTGCTGCCGCTCGTACCAGATTAAAAACTCTGGATACGTTTGGGAAGCTGGAGTCACGAACTCACGGTAGGATGAAAATAACCTTTCTCGATCTGCAAGCACTGAGTGGAAACTGCCAGTTTTCATCTCATTGTTCAGCTTGGTCGTGTCCACGTGGAACTCCGAACTCAAGGTCCGAGAACGACCAAGCGTGACACGACACAGGAGCATGCAGCAAAGCCCCCCATGGTCGTGGACGTCGGTGTGCTCCGCTACGGACGCGTACATGTCCGCCTTAGAAGAGCATTCCGTGAAGTAAATCCCTGAGCCAAAAGCTGATCCATGCTCCAACCGATGGTGATCCTCGAAACCATCCTCGAAAATTGACATAACATTGGTGGGAGATGTGCCATGGAAGAGCCAGTGCTCATTCGCAGCTTTCGCAAGTGGCATCGGGATGTACTGATCTACCAGCGTCTCGGCGGAAGTCGATGCATGCGGGAAGTGCTCTGCTGATTCCCTTGAAAGCTGCATGGAAATTTCTTTGCGTGTTTGCACGTATGCATCCCAAAGATCCGAATGCATAACTCGTTCTACCTCGATCACCTTGAGATTGTCCGCTTTGAGCTTCACATCCTTCGTCTGGAAGGTACGATGAATTACCTCCGAAACCCACATGAGCATGGCAGTCTTCAGGAATGAATGTTCACCTATGCGGGCACCCGCACGGAACAGAAACATCTTCACTTCAATGTTGCGCTCACTGAAGCTGGCATTTCGATTGCGGAAGTGCAGCTGCAATACTGCAGACCCTTCGCAGAAAGGCGTCTGACCGTGAAAGCTCTGACCACAGTCGTGCTCCAACTCGTGCGAGCCGTCGTCGGTGAGCAAGACAGCTTTGACGTCCACACCAGGACCTCGCTCTTTGATGGTCACAATCCAATGCACACCATCGTCGTTGAATGTGCCCTCCACCGATGTTGACCCACCAGCCCCCAAGCGGAGAGACCAGATTCGGCCGCGCCAGTTCTCCTTGCGGAGATGCATGGAGCTCCTGACCGACGGAGTGTGGGGGATGGTGAGGCCATTGGAAAGAATTCTCGACACGGCCGTCCGAACATTCACCACCAGCTTGTCAGAGAACGAGCGAGTCAACTCATTGGCGCCAGTTGTGAAGGAGTTGCTTCTGACTGGGGAGTTACCGTTGCTGCGCAGCACGCGGCCCTTTCTTGCAGCCGATGTTGCACCGCTTCGCTTCTTGCTTGCACAAGGTTTCCCGAAGAAATTTGCAGAGCAACACCCAGCTGCAAAGCTCCCAAGACAAAGCGCAAGGCTTCCAAGGCTTTCGCCTACCATGGCCAGGCTAAGGACTCGGCCACAGGGCTTGATCCGAGCACGGCTGCCATGGAAAGTGTCCTCTGCATGAGCCTTTCAGGAAAACACCCTGCTCTTGACATGCACTGGGAGTCGTGCATCCGCCATGTATGGGAAGAGCCTGGGCTAAAGTCAGCTACTCGTACCATCGGACATCACAGCACTGTGCACCTCTTGCAGCAGGCCTCGTGCCAAAGGCACCCCGGCGAAGCAGCACCAAACCAGCGCGAGGGAGAGTGGAAATCCAGAAGTGCTTGAGCACTGACAGAATGGCCGACGTCATTTACGACGGATCAACAATCAGCAGGCCTGGATTTTGCCATCTACTGCTAGGATGACAAACCGGAGACAAGACATCAGCACATGCCATACTCGGCCACCGTCTATTCTGAGAACTGCTACGATGCAGGTCGAGGCCTGACTGCCCTCTGTCTGCCCTCCGGACCTGGCGCATCACTGCGGCGACACATTCTGATGCTAAGAGTTCCTGCCGCAAGAGCAAGTGCTGTCAGCTGGCAATGCCTCAAGCAAGATCCGATGCTTGTCCCACAAGCAGCATGTCATGATGTTCCGATTTGTTGCATGAACGGCTGGCGGCCAGGTGTTGCAAACGTCATGCGAATTGGGCCAGAAGTGCGCAATGCCAGCCGCTTCATCTCCGCGACCTCCGTGCACAGCTGCACACAAGAGTGCATGCCTGTTGTTGCCTGTTGTGCTTGCGGGGTTTGAGGTCAAGGTCCAAGTTGGGAGCAGTTGGGGCCGACTGGTGCACTGAGGTGAGATGCGAGATATGCTGAGCGCTGGAACATGGCTGGGACTGGCTAGCGGACAAGGAAATGCATCTCACTGTGTCGCCTTGTTCTGGTGGGAGCTGAATCGTTTTGAGCTCCATGGGATCATCGGGTGACGCCTGGCAGAAGCGTCGGCACCGCAGATGCGAGCTCACCCAGGACACCGATGAACCTCCGAATCAGCTGCTGGTTTCCACTCTGACCTGCCGGAGAATAAACGCCAGGTCACGGCATCAGAGGCGCCTGTCGATTATTGTGAGCAACTGCCGGAGGCTATTGAAGTGTGGACCGCCAGGCTTCTACTGCACCGAAGTGCACACGGAGCACTCTCTTCTTTGAGTTACCCATCAGGCGTGCGAGGCTGAGGCTTGGGTGTGAAATCCCAAAGGCTCTGCCGTGCTATCTGCTATCTTTCTCAATCCGAACATGAGGGTGAAAGCCCTCGGTCAAGCCAAGGGTGCGACCAGGTCTCCAGAAACAACCCGGGTTTGCTCATGCCAATCCTGGGCAGGAGCATTCACATAGCCGATGGAAGGACGCCGAGCAGCTGGTGCCCGAGGCTCACGCGACATTTCTGCTGTCTCCTGAAGCTCCGTCGTCCTGAACATACAAGAGCCAGCAGCTAGCAGCTAGCAGGCGACCTTGCAAAACTGGATTCGGCAGCGTGGTACTCATCACTATGCATCTGCGAATCGTCCAGGATTTGGGGGGATGGTAAGAGCATCTTTAGCGGTCGATGCTCGAGCAAAGAATCATCCAACTCAAGAGCCCAGTGTCTCATGTTGGGGCCCTGCCGAATGCATGCGAAACCAAAAACCCTGAAAACAGTGCTGCTCACAACTCGCAGATTGCGCCAGAGCGAGAGCGAGAGGGAGAAGGAGAGGGAGGAAGGGAGGGAGGGAGAGAGAGAGAGTCAGACAGGGCGAGACAGAGACAGAGAGGGAGACCGGCGCAGATGGCCTCGCCGGCCGACTACAGCATAGCAAACGCAACCACCCAGTAACACCGAGCCGGCAGTACGAATCTCCACCAAGGTAGTTCAGAACCTGGTCGCGAACACATGGTCTCCACTGCTTCGGAAGATGCCGACGAACCTTTGCATGCAGCGGTGACAGTGACGGTGGCGAGAACTCATCGTGACCTGGACACTTCAATCTGACGCAATGTCCGACTACCCTCGTACTGCAAATCGCCGGAACAAGCATCGGTAACTTCATCCAAAGCAGCCTGTCCATCGCATTTCTGGTGGGCAGACACCTGACCTTCGTGAGAACATCAGATCCACTGCAAGTTGCTTTCGAGAGAATGTGTTGCTTTCAACATCCCGGTTCACGATGCCAAAGTCGAGCAATCCAAACTTTATTCCCGCCTGGGGCTGCCCATCCTCTAACATAAGCATAGACGCGACATTTTTGTGATTAAGCATTACTTCCATATCACGAATCAACTTCGGACTCAATGCTAAAAGCCAACTCGGACTCTCAACATCCACCGGAAGCTTCTGGCTAAACAGCAAAAGTGTTTGCGGGAAGCCGAAAGTGCAGATGTTGCCAAACATTGAAACTGTGTGAATTAGGCATTGCTGCGTTGTTTCAATCTTCTACTGTTTGCAGCAAGATTCAGCCGGAAAAACAAACGATTGTTTCCGTCGCTTTCTCACTTGCTTACTTTTGCAAACTCTCTGAATCTGCATGTCGTTTCCAAGTAAAACTAACCGGACTCTCAAGTTGCCGACGAGCTTTGTCCAAAAAACTCAAAAAGCATCCCTTGTCCAAAGTGGTCAGACGCGTGTATCTTGTTTTACAACCAACATCCCGGCTTTACAATCCCCACTTTACAACCTGCAAGCTTTACAGAATCCATACATTGCAAACTTGTTGCTTGCGAAGCAGCTTCTGAACAGCCTATTTACAGTTAACGTCAACGACCACCTCCTTCATTTCTTCAAAGTCTCGCTACGCAACACAGTTCACCTTTTGTGGCAGGTGGCAAGCTCCTGGACATCTGAAAAGCACCGGAATGTGATGTACAATCATCGATTGCAAATAATAGCGTCGCTGCTACAATGGAGCTCACCTCCTCCGGCCGGTTCCAAGCTCCTGCACATCTTAATTTCAATAAATGTTTCTGAAGAAACTCTGTGTGAAACAATTTCCTTGGCTAAGTCGGCTAAGTCTCAGAAACGGACACAAGCAGATCGGCGATGTCTCAATGCTTGGAACAAGTGCATTCGCGGTTTGTCAGAACTTGACAAGTGCAACAAAGCAACTGCGACGCACTTTCTTTCTTTTGCAAAGTGAGAGAGAAGCAAGACGATTGTGATCAAACTTGGTCTTAAAATCGCCATAAGCGGCGTTGACACAGCGAAGAAGTTCGTGTCAGAATCGACTTCAAGCCGTTGAGAGTTGAAAGACGCGTTCAAACTGGACGCAAGACGTCCGCTCTTGCCTTGTCTACTTGCACAGTGCTCCCCAATCCCACCAATGCTGGCAGTGTTTGCTCCTTCCAGAGTGCAGATGCGTGTGCTCAAAAGACGCACTTTGGAACAATACATGGCAAACAGCTGCGTCGAAACAGGTCAGCAGCCATGCACACATCAGCACAAGCCATCGTGTTTGAGCTGTGATCTTGCACAGTAGTAAAACAAAATGCGCTATCCTAAGCTTGCAAAGCGTCCTCTGTCATGTACACAACGGACAAACAATTACCGGGCGCGGCGTTTCGCACCGTCGCTAACTTTGAATGCTACGAGCCTGAACGCGCAC